CCCCCTCCGTGCCTCTGCACAGGTCCTTTTATCTTAACACAGGCATCCCTGTCCGTAAACAAGGCGCGCTCTGACCCTCACAGTGGCCACGTCAAGGAGCCAGTCTGAGGAGCTCTGAGCTCTGCAGGAGACGCACACCCTGGGAGCATGTGCAGTCCAGCTGCAGAGGATGGCTGGCAACGTGGCGTAGCATGACTTCCGGCCAGATGCAAGGAAGGGAGGGAGGAATAACTCCCCAAAAGCACACAGAACTTCAGTCTCCGGGCAACTAGGGCCAAGGTGGTCATGAAAAGGAAGGATGAGGTGAATGACGCTCAGTCTCAACCGGAAACATTTCAAAAAGTCTCTCAGTGGGATGACTGCCTTTAAATAAACAGGTGCACTACGCTGGTTAAGAAATTAATTCACAGGATGATGCCTGGCGCCTGCAGGCGTTTACAAGAACATTGCAGGCGAGGGCATTTCCAGCCGGGCTGTAGGAACAGCTCCTTGAGCATTATTAAACGTCTAATTCCTGCAGCAGCGTGCAGACAGGAAACACAGGGCTCGGAGCCTTTCTTATGGCAGGTGTAACGAAGGCCCTGAGACTTGTTTATGGCAGGTGTGCTGGAGGAGCATCGCAGCATCTGTGCCCAGGGCTGAGCCCTCCCACGTGGACACTGGAGGGACAAAGGTGACCAAGTGGCAATTGTAACAAGACTCCTTATGCTGCAACATGATGACCAACTGTAAAGTCCATAAGAATATAATAGCAAAGTGCAGTTCAGAAGGTCATCCACTTTCATGTAAAGAAAAAAATTAAAGCAGAAATAGCCACTCCTAAGACTAAAATTAAAGACATAATCTATTTCTAGGTACTAAAAGGTATTAAAAATACTGACAAGCTCAAAAATACCGATGGCTTCAATATGGTCAGGCAGCACTGGTGGGCCCCGGGGAGGCAGGCTGGGGTGACTGATGACAGCCCCACCCTCTTTGGGTGACAGCTTTTCTGTCCCTCTCTTTCACTGGGCTGTGCATCACATTAGTCTCTCTGTTTCATGCACCCAGGAACCTTTCTGAGTGGCCCTTAATGGCCAGGTACCAAGAACAGTGCCAATAAGCTTCTATATGCACGATCCAAATGACAAGCGTATTGCAGTAGAAGAGAGACAAAGTTTCAAAATAACTTCCCACAAAAAGCCCTTTTGTTTATATAACTTGGCTCTTCAATGAATTTTGAAGAAGAGCAAAATAGAAATGACCAAGAGGTATATAGCTTCCTGGTCCACAAAAAACAAGGTTTCAGCTCAGCAAATAAATGGTTCTGTACTACCAGAAGAGCAGGGTGACACGGGGTTTCCACCTTCATTCCCTCAGGTCTAAAATGCCCAAATGGCCACACACATCTGGTTCTGACTCGTAACCAGGCTGCGGGAAGCACCACTGCCGTTCTGTCACAGGGGGCAGCCGACGGCTGTGGGACATGCAAATGGCTTGCTAAAGTAAATGATGGCGACAGGATTCAAATTTAGGGTTTTTTTTTAACTCTTAAGTCCAATGTTTTAGACAATCTTTTAAAGAACTCATTGTTTATCCAAAGTTAGTTGAACAGATAGGAAGATAAGTCTTTTGTTGAAATATATAATATTCCGGTCATCATTCTGGAGTGGACAAGCAACAGAACATTTAATGGACACAGCAATACGCAGGGGACTGGGCCCAAGAAGGGTCAAGGTCAAACTGAGGTCAAGCTCAGCCTTGGATGCCCTAAGTAGGAAGGAGGCTGCTCCCAACATCCAGAAGAGCATGAAGACCAGGAACATCCAAGGATGTGTTGATCATGCCTCCATGCCACACCGTGCGAGAGCCCTGGTGAGACCACTGGAGCAGGAAAATGAGTGAGGCCTACGGACTGGCTGTTTGCAGACAATACGGTCGTCTATACAGAGAAGCCAAGAGAACCTACAGGTCAACTCTCAGAGTTCACAAGACTCAGAAAGCTGCTATACATGATCAATAAACAAAAACAGCAAAGATGCCATCATCAACGATCAGCAAACACAACGTAAGTAAAGCAGCCTTCATGGAGATGCACACATGCTGCGACGGCTTCGTGGGGACGCCCCTGTCACTCTCACTTCCTCACGTGGTCGTTCCCCCCATTTTTGGCCCCCTCACAGAGACGCTCTGGCTGCTGTGGTGACAGCAGGAGGTGGTCATGGGGGCGTGGGTGTAGTGCCCAGGTGAGAGAGGAGGAGCCAGGTCCATGGGGAGTGAGGTGGGAGACCCAGCGGGTGGGCGGACTCAAGCCGGCAGGGGCTTATTAGTGGGACTTGAGCAAAAAGGATGATGTGAGGCGAGGTTTTCAGGTGGCAGTGTGGAGGACTGAGGGACAAGAGTGGCAGCGAGGCCAGGACCCGGCTGCAGGAGCTGCCTGAGATGCTTTGTCATCTCCAGGCCAGCCGGTGGCCGGACGGCAGGAGCATGAGGGGACGGGCGGACTGCAGGGCTGCTTCACCGGTGCACGGGCCCTGCTGGCCGAGTGGGAGCGGCTGAGAGGAGGAGGCATGTGGCCAGTGGAAGCTCTGGTGACCGGAAGGAGGGGCTAACAGAACAGAGCAGGCAGGAGGCCACCGAGTTGAGACCCTCTTACCCCCTTCACTCACTTCCCAGAGAAGGGAACGGATGCCCTCGCCTCCCACTCACGTCTCCGTGACTGCTGATCCCCCGTCTCTGTGGTGTGGAAGGGCTCCATGTGGCCTCGGAGGCCCTGAGCTCATGGCAGGTTTTGTCACAGATTAGCTGTGTGATCTGGGCAGCTCACTAACGTGAGCCTTTTCCCACCTGTAAATTATCTGCAAAATCACACTTACTGCATAGAGTTAAGAGTTATGAGACTTTTCACTGGTAAGCTCCTGTCACTGGGCGTCACACACATGCACACACGCACATGTGCACACACAGCACACACAGCAGACCGGTCGAAGTTCAATTTGAAACATTGCTCTGTTTCTCCACTGGTCCTTTTCTCCTAAATAGAGCCTGTTTAAGTCACTACTGGCTTCAAACCAAGGAAGCAAACCGGCCCGTCCTTGCCCTGAAGCCGACTCCGCCCCCCCCCCCCCCCCCCCCCCCCCCCCCCCCCCCCCCCCCCCCCCCCCCCTTCTTCCCCGGCGCCTCCTGCCACCCGGTTTCTTCCCCATCTCTGCATCACACACTCGCGTTCTTCTGAATGCCCACTGCTAAACGTGATGGCCTGTTCTGAGGCGTCTGGTCCCCACAAGCCTGCAGAGCGTGACGTTCCTGCCCGTGCCCCGCACGTGCCCTTATCCTGGAGCCTCTTTCTCTGTGTTATGTAAATCAGATTTTCCCAGCCTCTCTCCCTTCTCTGAAAATTCTCCTTCATGACTCTCCTTCTCCACTCCCCCAGAGAAGCCCCCATGTTCTACCCTCAGCCCCCAAGCCTGTTTCTACACTTCCTTTCGAGGGTTTGCCTGCCGCCATCACTGGGTGGACGAGGTCCCCAGTCTCCATCTCTCAGGCCATGGGGCCTCATCACCAGTGGTCTCCTGTGCACTACTCTCCCCATATCTCCCTCTCCCAGCCACCTCTCCTACCACACAGGCTCAAACTCGAGAATGGTTTCTCCCCCACATCCGCCTGGCCCTCCGTTAACTCTGCATCCTGCCCCCCACAGCCCTTCCTGCCCATCGACCCCCACCTCCCTGGCCGCCCTCACCTGTCCGGCACAAATTACTAGAGCAGTCTCCTCAGCGGCTCCCTCCCCACTCAGTTATAATCTGCTGTACACTGAGGCCAGACGTCTTACAAACCACAACTTAGTTCTTACTGTTTCTTTGTTCCAGAATCTTTAATAGCTTCTCAGGCCTGCTAAATGAGGTTTGAACTCCTGAACTTGGAATTAACACCTTCCACTTTGATGGCCCCTAGATATCTCTAGCATCTTAGCCCAACAGGGCTGTCTGCCCTCCTCCAAATGTCCCCTGTGCTGGCCCTCTTCTGTCCCTTGCTCAAGCTGTCTCCATACCCCCACCTTCACCGCCTGACATCTACACTCCTCCACACCCCCCACCCTTTTAAGTCCAATACAAATGCAGCTCCACCCATAAGACTGCGTGGGTCCTCCTCTTTTCGAAATGGCACGCTTGTGGCATACATCTTTTGTGGGATGTGTGACTTCAGACCTCACGCAGAGGGTTTTGTCCCCACTGGACAGGAGCCTATTAAGGGCAGGGACAGCCAACCTCTGCATCACCTGCAGTCTTCAGCACAGTTCTGAGTACAGGGCCCTGCCTAGATCTTTGTGGAGCGGACACACGACTGCAGGCCCAGCAGGCACGAGGAGTGGGGAGACGCTTGCCAGAGAGCAGAGCTGGAGAGGCAGGTTGTATAGTCACGGGTGGGAAGTGACGGTGAGTGCTGTGGGGCCGAGCCCTGGAGGCTGGGCCTCCGTGCTCCTGTTATCACGGTTAGGGCAGGGGAGCAAGAGGCATGGCTGGAGACCCATGATGGGGTCTGGGAGAGGCAGGGCCGAGTTCCAAGAAGAAAGCAAGTGGTCAGGGTCATTTACTGGCCAGAGGGGTGGTCGGAGATGGGGAGGAGGCACAGTACAGGGCAAGAGGGACAATAAGTGGCGTGCACGCAGCACGGGTGAGCAGAAGGCTGGGGTGACAGACTAGGACTGGGCCCTGAGGAGCAGCATTTCCTGTATTCCGGGAGAGAGGAGGGACCAACAGTGCCTGGAGGAGGGAGGGAGGCGACGGCAACTGAAGGAGTGAGGCCGGGAGAAGGGCAGGACGAGAAGTGGAAGGGAGAAAGGAGACAGTGCTAATTGGGGCAAACCAGCCCCGCAGGACTCAGTGAGCCCTGCCCATGTCAGCAGCCATGCCCGTCAGGGCCAGGCAGTCTGGGGATCAAGGAGAAAAGCCACACCGGAGAGGAGTGTGGCTGGTGAGCATGCAGAGACCCTCTCACACCCAGGACTCACGATTACTCACACTGTCCACGGCGAGAATCTTGGCCCATATGAAAACAAGGAGAGGCCGCAGCTCCCTGGCTGAGCTCTGGAGCAGCTTCAGCACGTAGGGGAAGATGCCCACAGACAAGGCCTGAAGGAGAGGAGAGAGTGTGAGTGTGCTGGCTCCCGGCCCTGCACGCGCCTGCCGGGGAGCACAGTTGCCCGGGTGGCAGACCACACCACTCGGGGTCAGGGCTGGCAGTGTCTCCGGCACGTACGGGAAAGCGTCTCGCCTAAAGCAAAGCGGCTCCCTGTACATTTCCTCATCTCGACTGTATTCCAAGAAGTGGCTGGGTATTCCCAGTCATGCCTGGTCTACAGACAGTTAATCTAGGGCAGCTTTCCCTCATGAGGACATGGGGCTTCCGACTGGGAGCCGCCACCCTCACCCTCAGATGGCCTTGCTTGCTCTCAGCAACAAAACACAAGGCCCCTAATTGTGATCCTCACATATGGAACCATGCCTCGCTCTCCCTATGGGCCTCCCATTTGCTCCAACATTGCCTTTGCATGGGATAGACCTTCAGAGAAGGATGGGCCAGCTTGCCGGTAGTTAAGACGGGAGCAGCTCTGGGGCTCCCCGGTGCCCAGTCGCTGGCAGCGCATCATCCTGGGGGGCCTCCCTGCTCTCAGGCAGAGAAACAAGAGAGAGGGTGGGTTCCCTGGTGTAGGACAACTGGGCAAAGTCTGGTGATGGCCCTTGCCTCAGTTTTTGCTCCATCCTTCTCTCAAATTTGCTGGAATTCCAAAGATATCCCAAAAGTGCCCCCTCCAGGCCAGATGGCAGGTGTGACCAGGCCGGTGGCCAATGGCAGGGCCTGTGTCCCTCTCTTGTTAAAGGCCGTGTTTAGTGAGACAAGCACGCATTTCACTGGTTCAAGCAGTTGGCCCTCACCTACGAGCCACCACACCCCATTTATCCAGCGTCTATTCAAACATTAGCAAAATTTCCAATTAGTATAAGCTTAATTCTTTAAAGGGCCAAACTTAGGTTTTAAAAAATTAACCACATAAATTAAAATCTCTCTAAAATGTTATTAACATGTTTCCGTCTTCTTCAAGGGTGTAAGCTTTCCCACAATGACTAAGCGACATCATTATGCACAAGCGCACACACAGACCAGACACTGGAAGAGTTACATAAGCCCGTCATCGACGACTTTAGTTCACCGGCTGTTAGCACAGCCTTGGACACCCGCGAGGGAAAACGGTCCAGCGACGAGTGCTGAATGCTTCTTCCTAATTTTCAGACTTTCTCTCTCCTCCTTCAACGTTGGACTATCAATTATCACTCTTTGTTGACATTATATAATGAACAAACTTAAATATACGTAAACGGAGAGAGAATAACGTGCTGAACTCCCACATGCCCATCACCAGCCTCTCAACCACAGCAGCTCAAACCGCTCGAGGCCCCTCCTACCTCGCCCACCGTCCTCCCCTACCAATCTTAGCTATCACACACTCCACTCGTAAATATTCAGTGGTTGTCTCTTTTACAGAAACATGACCACATACCATTACCACACCTAAAAAAATGAACAATTACTCTTTAATAACATAAAATATTCAATTAATGTAAAATTTCTAAGTGTTCCATGAATATTAAGTTTTCAAATTTTTAACTTTCAAACTTTTATTTGCAAACAGAACCAAACAAGGTCCAAATATTGCAATTGGTTGACAGGTCTCTTGACTCTTCTTTAATTGATAGATTCCCTCTCAACTGCTTTCTCTTGTGATTTGCTGAAAAAATGGATCACTTTTTAATTATATTTTTGTCAGCCTTTTCTGTTTGAAGTGGCCATTTCTACTCTCCTATAGAATGAGTAACCAGAAAAGTGTTTCAGAACTGTGCCTAAAATCAGAGAGCAAAGGCAGTGAGTGAGGTTCACAGGCTGCTCCTAGGAGAAAACTTGCCATGTGCAGCCCAGGCCATGCCGGCTCAGAGGCTCCCAGCTGCTTGGCCATGGCAGGGGTGAGCCACTCCCTAAAACGTGGCCACTAGCAACACTTTCTGTCCTGCAAGGTGAAGCCTAAGAGGAGACAGAAAAGAGGGCAAAACGAAACCCCCAAGTGCGGTGCCAATGAAGGCCGCCCAGCACACATTCCCTGAGGGCCTCACGGGCCGACTGGTCACCCCTGAGTCACCCTCGATTGCATGGCTACGGTCACTTCCGGGTGGCGAAGTAAGTCCTGAGACTGCAGCAGAGTCTCGCTGGCCCCTGCCCCACCCTGAGTCAGGGCAGGAAGCACGCACCAGGCTCACCGCCCAGGGCCCCAGGTCCAGAAATCTTCCCAGCAGATCCAGGGCTCTCAGCCGGTGCACTTGGCTCAGCAGCACCTGAGGGAGAGGGAGGAGACGGTGTCACTCAGGACGGCGGGACGCGGTGCTCTCGGGAGCCCTGCCGCCTGAGCTGCTGACTCCAGGGCATCCGACCGAGCAGCTCAGATGCCTCCCTCGCTTTGCTCATTTATTTACCTACAGCAGGTGCTCCAGGAAAGCAGTATTTCTTCATGAATGGGTAAAATATGCACACTATAGAAAGTATTAAAACAAATGGTTTTTTTATTGCATTTCAAAAAATTTTCACCGCTGACATTTTGGTATACCAACTTCCAGACATCGTTTCCTTATTTATTCTAAACCAGCTAATATAGTACTGTATTTCTCATTTCCCGTTTTAACTAAACAATATACTGAGAATCTCATTCCATACCCCTAGATACATCTGGCCATGTCATTCCCAACAGCAGCACGGCCCTTCATCTACATAAATGTGCATAGTTCGTTTAAACAATTTCTCTAGTGCTAGCTATTTAAATTACTATCCAATTTTTGCTGTTATAAACAATGCTGTGATAAATATCCTAACAGGTACACCTCTGCACATTTGAATGGTTTTTTCCCCCCCGGATAAATGAGAGAAGTAAAATTACAGGGTCACAGCATAGATACTTACATTATCAAATTATCCTCCAGCCAAACCAATTTGCATTTCCAACGAGAGGCAAGCGGTGCTCTCTCCCTCCAGCCTCCTCGGAGCACAGTGCAGGAGGGCATCGGTTTGCTGGGGCGCTCGCTGGTTATGTGACCTTGGGCAAATTACTTATCTTCTCCGAACCTTAATTTCTTAATTCATAAAACAAGGATACCAGAAAACCTACCCACAGGGCTTTTATTAAAAGAAATAACAAATTAAAAGCTCCCAGGATAATACTAGCCCATATTAAACTAATATTTGCCAATATAATAAGCAAAAATAAAATATCCTTTTAACCTGAATTTCTTTGATGACAAGTTAGGTTGGATATTTTTCTCATAGTTTAATTGGGTAAATTGGACATGTACGTCCTGATTTTCCTACTTACGAGTTTAGCTTTTTCTTATTGATATGAAAGAGTTCTTTATAAGTTAAAAAGAGCAAGATCTGCCACATATTTTTCTCTTTTTTCCTCTGCTACATCCAAGTTTTAGATTTCTAATGGCGTCATTTATACTGACTTTCCCTTCAGCGCTTACACTCGAGGTCGCGTGTACCAAGTCGCTCTCATGTGGAGCATTTCTGTCCACTGACATTCGCAGCCATCCAACGAGTGTTTATGGGGCCTTGCTTTGTGTGGGCACCATGCCGGTGCGGGGCGGTGATCAGGAACAGCTGGGTGCCCCCTTCCTGTGATCACTTAGCTGCAGAGACAGACATTAGATGGCCACCCTGCAATAATCCACTGTCACGGTGAGCAGTGCTGTGAAAACGCATAACAGGGGGTCCCAGCCCTACTCTAGGGGGTCTCAAAGGTTTCCCCTCCTGGCAGGCAGCCAAATCCCAGAGGGTGATTGGGGGTTTCCAGGTTCCAGGCAGAGGGGGCCGGGAAAGTTCAGGGTGTCTGAGGAAGGGCAAGCGGCCTATCTGAGGTGGGAGCGGCCACACACCCAGCCTGCCCCGCAGACCAGGCGAAGGGTCTCAGTTTTTCCCAAGAGAAGCATCAGCCATTGACTGATGCGAACCAGTGGAGTGACCCATGGAAGTGCCCTCTGCAGGGAATGGACTGGCAGGAGGCTGGATGGAGGGGTGGAATGGGGTAGACCGACCCTGGCAGTGACTGATGGTGGGGAAGAGACTCCAAGACAGGTGGGAGGTGTGAGCAACAGAACTTGTCTGCAAGGGACAAGGTGGGGTCAGGGAAAGGAGACTCTGGAAGACAGATGTGGAAAGAGGCAGGAGAAAAGGACGGCCAGGCCAGCAAGGTTGGGGCTAGGAGTGCCAACATGGGCGTGGTCCGCAAAGGGAGAAGTTGGGCCAAGAGGGAAGGGTGAGGGCAGGAACAGGTGGGAGAAGTGGAGAGGGAGATAGAACTGAAGCCAAGGAGGGAAGGTTTCCCCTGTGCCACCTGCTCCCAGGAGGTTCACAGCAGGACTCATGAAGCAGACCCCCTGGGTGTAGGGTGTGGATCTTGGTGGACTTCTGAGGATGGACGCCAGAGCAGTGGGACAGGGTGGGGGTGAGGAAACTGGGCAGCCAGAGCAGTGTTTAAGGAGCCCCCGTGGAGGGGTGAACAGGGGCTGAAGTAGTGGGGCGTGCAGGGAGGATCACCAGGCAGGGACAGAGGAGGTGGCGAGAGGGAGGCTGGGGACAGAGGAGACAGCGGGTCCTTACAGTGTTGAGTTCCTGAGAAGGACACGCCAAGGAGGAGGATGGGGAGCTCCCCAGGGAGAAGCCTGTGGCTCATGGAGGAGTGGCATGCTGTGTGGCGGCTCACATACAAAAAAATAGACGAAGCCTGGCAACAGATGTTAGCTCAGGGCAACGCTTCCTCAGGAAAAAAACCAATCAGTGTCTACAGCTGTGCTGGGAAGCCCAGGAGTCAGGGAAGCAGATGAGGAGAAAGAGCCACTGGTTTAGGCACTGGAATGTCATCTTGATTCATCTCCCACTGGTTTGGAGCCCATTTCCACATCACTCTTTCAAGATGGATGGCTGAGTGGTATGTTTCATGTTTGGAGATGATGAGAGATTCTCTGATTAAGAAGCTGGGAGAAGGGCCTGGCCCAGTGGTTAAGTTCACGCGTTCCACTTTGGAGGCCCAGGGTTTTGCTGGTTCGGATCCTGGGTGTGGACATGGCACCGCTCATCAGGCCATGCTGAGGCGGTGTCCCACATGCCACAACTAGAAGGACCCACAACTAAAATATACAACTATGTACTAGGGGGATTTGGGGAGAAAAAAAAGATTGGTAACAGCTGTTAGCTCAGGTGCCAATCTTTAAAAAGAAGCTGGGAGAGGTGATGTGGGAGGCTGCTCATGGGAGCACATCTGAACTGGGACCCGATCCCCTCCCACATGTCACTCGTGGGTTACCACGCGCCCCTGTTGTTTGATGTAGGTTTGGAGGGGAAGAGAGACAGTGGGAAATGTGGGCTTTGGAGTCAAGCTGACCTGATTTTAATCCTGACTCTGTCACTTCCTAATAGTGTCTTAAATTACTTAACCTCTGGAAATTTCAGTTTCCTTAACCAGAAAAGTAGAGACAGGGGCCAGCCCCTATCTTAACAGCTAGCAGTTAAGTTCACACATTCTACTTTGGCGGCCTGGGGTTTGCCATTTCGGATTATGGGGTGGACCTATGTACTGCTTGTCAAGCCATGCTGTGGTGGCATCCCACATATGAAGTGGAGGAAGATGGGCACGGATGTCAGCTCAGGGCCACTCTTCCTCAGCAAAAAAAAAAAAAAAAAAAAGAAAGAAAGAAAGAAAGAAGAAGAAAAGTGGACATAACATTTGACTTGGGTTTATTTTCAAAATTAAATGAGATAAAGTCTGTGAAAGCACCCAGCATGGGGATGTGTAATAAATATTAACATTACGGTTTCAGCAGACAGTTACAGGATGTCTCCACCCTTCAGAAGCGATTTGACTGACTGTATCTGTTTTTGAAGAAAATAAAACTGCCTGAGGCTCAAGTTTCTTGATGGTTCAGAGTGAGCAGGCCTTCTATTTACCAGGTTTGTGAAAGCAGATGCAATCCATCAAAAATCAAAGGCTTCAAATATATCTAAAGCTTGAGAAGACTGTTTTCTGATTCCCTTTGTTATTTAAAACCCTGTAACCACGAGTAAAGCTCTGTTTTTTAAGGTAAATAGTAGATCAGTTTGTAACGGCAGCAGGCGGCTAAGACACCCAACCCCGGAGAGTTCAGGGTGTCTGTCCTCCGTGTGCGCTAACCAGCACTACGAGGTCTCCACTGCAACGTCTGATCCACAAATGGGCAAGTAAAGGCAGCTGGCCACAGTCACCATCATGAGAGGGTCTTCCTGACTGCCAAACAGGTCGATGAAACATATCCTGGGGCACTGACACCCCTGTGTCTCAGAGACTTGGCGTCTGAAGACCGTCGGCAGTGCAGGATTTTGTGCTGCAATTAGTAATGTTTTATTCGAAAATAAACATTGTCAATAAGGAGTCCTGGGGAAAATGTCAAGCGTTGGGTTTTTTAAATATTACATCTTTCCTGTTCCTTCTGTTCATTTGTATTTTTTTAAAAAGTGAAGCCCAAGATAAATTAAAATTACTTTAAAATAAGGACTGGTTTTTGTTTGTTTGGATTTGGACTTTTTTTTTAATTCCTGTTTCAGACTGCCCCAGGATCTGTGGAAATTACAGAGATAAATGGTGGTGAACTGAATGAGTTGCTGGGATTTATTTTCGTCTGTGGCAACCCAAAGATTAATCATGGTGACATTAACACCCAAATTAAAGCAGAGCTTCCTAGGGTAACGACAGTTCGTCTGCCTTGTGCACACACAGGGCGCTCAGGCTTCGGGGCCGAGACTGCTCGTAGAGCTGCTGCTAAGGAAAACAGGCGCCGAGCTTCAGGCCTGGCATGCTGGAGCCTGTAGGCCGGGCGCCTGGGAATCGGACCATCAGAGATTCTGGAGCCAGTGAGAATGTGTACATGAGAACACCCCAGTTATTACCCATGCTGCCACCTAACAATAATCCTGTGCTTTCAGACCAAAAATTGCATTTGTAAATAAAATGATGCAAGAAAAGCAAACAGGGCTTTCCTAATGAAATGCCCTATTGACTTGCAAGATCTGTGCAAAGGCCCAGTGTACCCTATAAAACCCCTTCTTCCCTCTCTTTTCTACAACATCGAATCTTCCCTCTCTGCCTGGGGCTTCTTCATGCGCAGGCCACCCGAGGGAGTGCGGACAGTAACGTCAAGTCCAGGCAGAGCCACCCAGGCCAGAGACCTCGTGCACCAGGCCTTGCAGTGCAGCAGGGCTCGAGAATCCCCCTTCCTATTCCTTCTGTTGACTTACATTTTTAAAAGGTAAAAAAGGACATTGGGGCTGGTCAGAAAGAGCGTCCTTCCGTGCTTACATTACTCGAAGGGCTGTAAATCCACGGGCCGGAGGGGACGTTTCATTTGACTTTCATGGTCACCAGCTAATGCCTCTGAGTCTTTGAGTGGAGAAAATTCTCTTCAGCTTGAGGAAAAAGTAGCAGGGATTGGAAAAACTACAAAGCAACACTTTCTGACTCGCTGAGGCACCAGAGGATAACTCATGGATAACAGGGTCTAGGCTTGGGCAAAAGTAAAGTTTCTTAAGATAAAGCATGGTGAAGTGAGTGGAATTAATGAGAAGGCAGCTGACACCGCGGGCGGCACCAAGCGAAACCAGCGCTCCTTGGCGTTTCGTCTCGTTGAGCACAGCTCGCGCCTTGGTGCAGGCTGGCACAGTCCACAGACCGACCCCTCCAGAACGAGGAAGAACCGGCAGCTTACATTTATCTGAGAGCTTACACAGAAATGCCTCCCTTCTTTTCGGTCCCAGTTATTTTTCCTCATTTGGGCCTTGGACAGGTGGCTCGCTTAGTCTTCTCTTTCCCTGAGGGCGTGTGGATTGTAAATGGAACATTAAAAAAAAGTCAACAGAAGGCCATTTACAAAGGATTGTTTGCCAGACCCAGAAGAAGAGGATTTAACACTCTTGGTGTTGCACCCCTGCTTTGGAGAGGATCGATTTGACTCCATCACGTGCTGAAGTAACAGGAAGGTCAGTGGGAGGGCCAAAGGCTCCTCTCCTGAAAATTCCGGTGAGGCAGAGGAGCTTTGGAGCACAGCAGGTCCAACCTGCGCCACTGTCGTCCTCTGACATCCTGTCTGCCTGCCCTTCATTCACACCCAGCCACCTTGCTGCACTCATGGACGAGAGAGCATTGGCTTCTGCCAAATGGTCAGTTTTCTTTGTTTTGTTGTTATTATTGCATTTCTTTTCTTTTGGTTTTGAAAATTTGTCTTTTCATTTACAGCTCACCTTGCAAACTCAGGAAAGTCTCAAATGAATCTGGAAGCACACAGGGGAACAGCAGTAATGTTTGCATTCTTTTCATAACGTCAGAAAAGCAGCAGTCCTAATACACAAAAAGCACCAAGACATCTCCAGCGCAGCATCGTGGCGCAGTTACTCTGCCACCTGCCTGGTTCCTGACGCCTGCGAGAACAGGCCCTTGCGCTTCTGCAGCATTCCTAGCACTCCGCCCTCTCTCAGCTCCTCTCTTTGCCATCACACAGTCCCAAGCCAGGGAAACCTCAGTTCTGTTGCAAGAAAATGATCTTCACAGCCTGCCGTGTGGCCGACATGGAGGCAGAGCAGACCAGCACAGGAGGAGCGCTGCCCTGTTCTGTGGTGGCGACAGAGACACTGTTCACCTATTTTCAGATGATCCTCAGCAGTGGGAGCCGCTCAGGGTGGGCCTTTGGCCTAGTGGAGATCGACGGGGCTGCCACGGCGACGGGTGCACAGCTGAGTGAGAGCGGACAGCCCCACCTGGAAGGAGGTGGGGCACACGTCCTGGACAGGCACACAACGAGGCTCCTGGTCTATCTCATGGAGGCAAGGCGGCCTCATCAGCTTTCTCAGGGGACGGTGCCGATCCTGCCCTGCCAGTCAGAACTGAAGACCCCAAACCCAGAGGCAGAGCACCCTCTCCACTCCACTGCTGAACACAGATGTAAACACGCGCCCCTCGCTGCTGGCACAACCCGTCCGCACGACCGTCCCCAGCTTCTTGCCAAGTCCAACTGCCCCACCCCAATGGCAGAAAATCTTTGCCAGGTTCTGAAGTGAGGTATTAGACCTTGGTGTCTACACTGAACAGTGGTTTTAAAACTCACCTGACCTTGTCCCAGAGTAAAACAGCTTTCCTTATGGCAAAACCTAGTCCACACACCTCTCCCATAAATACACATTAACTGAAACGAAAGTTCTGTGAACGCTTTCTAACCTTCCTACCTGTGACAAACTTTGGTATTTTGCCATGCCATCCCATCTGATCTCATTAACCAAAAAATTATCTGGGAGAGACCCACAAAACTGATCTCCCAACCCACTGGTGGGGCACAATGTGCAGTGTGGACACTGACACCGGCCACGTGAGTGACTGGCACTTGCCAGCACTCCCAGAAAGTGCAATGGCACCCGCACCAACACACCCTCACAGAGAGGGAGTGGAAGGGCTCCTGGTCCAGGCGGTCACGCCACTTCGTCAATAACTCACAGGTGCCTGGCCTGGAGCCCACATGGCCCATTTGCAATTTGCTCAGTGCTCCTCATCCCTGTTCTCCCAGGGCTGACTGGCATCTCATGTCCTTCCAAAAAGAATGGCACCGATGCTGAGAGCCCGTACCGGAAACAAGTGAAGCTTGTTTGCAGCAGCATTCCATCAATGCCCCCTGACGCGTACACAGGGAGATGGGGAGGGCGCTGACTGCCACCCCAATTAGGATTTAATTGAGGGTGGGGGAGGGGCAGTGACTTTACAGGGAAAGCCCTTTAGGAGTAAGTATGCAGTCAGCTCCAATGCCGGTGATGGGTCTGTGTGATTTCTTTCCCACAAATGCCATCTGGCCCAGGGCATGGCCATGGACAGTGGAGAGGGCTGTGTGTCACATACCCTCACACTCATCCCTGGATAAACTAGTCCCTGGGAGGCTGTGGAGTTTTCTAGCTTCCTTCCCTGGGATACACTTAGCCAGTCTGGCCCGATCTGAAGAAACTCACCTGTAAAACAATGGGAAGTTGTTCAGGTGGGTTCCTGTTCTCCACGCCCATTGTGAGCCACACCTGGAATGCGGTCAGCTGCTCAGCAAAGAACGGACTGTGCTGTGAGAAAGGCAGAGTGGGGAGTTAGTGAGGGACCTGCCATTTCTTATTCAGCCTTGCCTTTATACACTCACCCCACCCATCAATTCAGTCCCACGTCTTTTTAAGGCACCAACTCTGCACTGCCCCAACCATCCAGGTGAGAGAAGACGGGCCAGGATTGTAGCAGAGGAGGTGGTGAGAAGCAGTCGGACCCCTGATGTGTTACACAGGTAGAGCCAGCAGGAGGTGTGAACGGAGTGGATGTGGTAAGAGAAAAGGAGCTGGTAACTCCAAGGCTCTTGCCCTGAGCACCAGGAAGGGTGGGGTCCATGAACTGAGCTGAGAAGACTGTGGAAGAAGCACATTTGGGAGGAGAATGTGGGGAATTCAGCCTTGGACGCATCAAGTTTAAGATGCTTACTGGACATCCGAGTGAAGACATCAAGGGGTGATGGATGATATGAGCCTGCAGTTCAGGAGAGACGTGTGGGTTGGAGAGAGAACCTTAGTTAAAAGTTAAGTGAGAAAGAGAAGGACCTCTGGGCTGATCCCTGGTGATTCCACTAGTTAAGAGGCCAAGGAGGTGACATGGAGCTAGCAAAGGAGCCAGCAAGGGCCAGGCCAGCAGAGGGAGGGCAGGAACGGGTGGTGGCCAGGAAGCCAAGAGAGGGCAGAGTGTGAGGAGAAGTGTGCACAGTGTCAAAGACTGCCGGTGGGTCAGGCAAGCTAAGATTCAGGGCTGACCATGCCTGGTGCAGCAGCACAGGGGTCACTGGAGGCTATTAAGAACAGCCTCAGGGTGGGAGCGAGCATAAGCACAACTGGAGTGGCTTCAAGGGAGAAGAGAAGAGAATTTGGAGACTCAAGTACAGGGAGTTTTTTGAGGGAATTCGGCTGCAAAGGGGAAGGAGAGAAATGGAGAGGGAGCAGAGGGGAGGGGATCAAGTGATCAGGAGTTTTATTTAAAGATGGGAGAAGACGGCACATTTATAAGCTGATGAGAGAGATCAGGTAAAGTGGGGGCTGCTGGGTGACGTCCTTGGGCGGATGTTGACGCACAGGTGCAGGGCTGGTGCTGCTGGGAGGACGAGCAGCTCTCGGGGAATGGGGACGGGAGAGCAGATGCGCCTGGCACAGGGATATAGGCAGGTGTGCTGGGTGATGCGTAGAGGTTCACTTTTCACTTCTCCTTCCCAGTGAGGTATCGTCAGGGAGGAGGTGCTGGTGTTGGCCAGAGTGCAGATGGGAGCGGGAATGGGAAGGAACTGAGGAGAACGTCCAGTCAGACCATCAGGCAGTGTTCAAGGCCCCTCAAGGACAGTGAGCACAGCAGGGTCCAGTGGGTTTCACGAGCACAGCTTAGGGTCGGGGTGCAGGCTCAGAGTGGGCAGGCGTGGACTGACTCAGGGACCATGGAGTTGGGGGTGAAGGGAGCAGAGGGCATGTGAGAACAACAGAAGCCCTGGCCTGGGGTCAGTGGGGCGAGGGAGGCAGCAGGCGATAGAGTCACGGGCCTCGGTGCTGGTGAGCTTGGAGCACAGTGCCGTCGGAGTGAAGGAGGGGACAAGCTGGACAGCAGCGGTGGGGGAGTCTAGGTCGGTCTGTCCTGACGCTGGCCATGTGGAGGGCGTTTTACCGAATGACGAGGACCAGGCAAGCTCAGGGAGCAGGGAGGACCAGGCCGTCGGACAGAGGTCTGGGAACAGAGTAGTCAAGTAGTGGAAGGACTGCTGCATTTTTCTGTCTCAGAATTATTTTCTCTTCATACACAGTGCTGCCTCTCTTGAGCCCCAAATAAAAAGAACTCCAAATTACAAATCTCTGCCCCCATCCACCAGCCTCTCTCTCTACTTTCTCTGTTTCCAAGGGGGAAAGCAGGTGGCTGCATTGCAGAGGTGTGTCTATGTGTAAGGAAGGGCCAGTAGGAAGGCAGGGATGCGGGCTGTGACCCACGGGTTCCAGCGCATGTGGACACATGTGGCCACGTGCATGTGAACAACTTTAAGCCATGGGTGGGGCCTCAGCAGACACGTAAGGCAAACTCCAGGCGTGCTTCCTCCACGCCTTCCACAGAGGAGCCTGCTGGCCAGGGCCATGGTGCACCCATAACAAAGTCAGTGTCACGTGAGAATTCAGGAGAGGACATTTACCACTTAGGGATTCAAGTTCTTGCAGAGTCAGCTTACATCAAGTTAATCAAATTTGGGGGGCAACCTGTGAAGTGAAATGGAGCCCCCAAAGTGATTTTCCTTTTTTGAAGTGTGAACTATTCATAAATTGGTTTAAAAACAATCATCTTGTTAAGCGCCCGCTCCCCACATCTGGTGAGAACACAGTTACACTGAGTGAGGGAAAGTCAGACAATTCAGATAATTCCCTCTTTCATCCTTCGTTCCATATTAATTTTCACTTTGTGAATGTTCACATGTTGCTCATTGATGGACAAACTGCTTCACGAAAAAAAAAAGACAAATATTCCTGATCTTTTCACCTAAAACTAACAAAGAAGGACCAGCCTTTGCCATCGGTCTGCTGTGAGGTTTGCCATACTCCTTAAAGCCATGGGGGAGCTGAGAAACCCGAGCAGGCTCCCAACACAAGCGCAGCTCAGCATTTTAAAAAACGCCACACAAAACAGCTCAGGAGCTGCCCCATGTGCATCTAACGATGACTCACAGAGCTGCTGTTTTGGGCCAAATCTCCAAGATTCTGTCCACAGTGTGTCAGAGCTACCATTCAGATTCTTGGGGGAAGAAAATGGAACCCAGGATGAAGGTTCTGGAGGAGAGCTCTCACATGTGGTAGGTGGAGGCTGTGAGTCATGCAGCCATGCATCCAGGGCCTCCCAGGACAATTCTGATGCCAGGTGGTCTGCTCTGTTGTCAGCCCACGTGTCAGCAGGCCTGAGGGTCTGAGAACAGGCACCAAGTGCAATGGACTGAAAGCAGGAAGTCCAGCTTGGGTGCAGAGCCAGGCCTGGCCACTGGGGCTAACCCACTCAGACTTCTGCTTCCATTGTTGTGAGAGAGAAAAGCTAGTTAATCTTCCCACTCTTCTCACTTGCCCTCCCTGGTCCAAACACACTGATACTGGCCGTGTCTGTCCCAATACACTCGCTACTTTTGATGACCTCACTGCTTAAGAGGAGACAAAAAAAGAAAAAGCGAAGTGGCTAAGAGCGTTCAAATGCCAACCACCTATCAGACCACTCAGCCTACAGAAGGGTTCTGTGTAAACCCTCCTGAGAGAGTCAGTCACCCAGACTTCCCACGGTGTGCGAATCCTCCCCACTGCTCTTCCTAGCGCGACAAGCATCAGTGATGACAGGGCTCCATTTCCCTGCTGATTACAACCCCGCACTTCCAACTGCTACTCTGGGAGATTGACATACATGCCAGGCTTTCCTTTTGTGTATCTGAAAATGAGGTTTTAAGATAAGGCCAGTAATATATAGGAAAATTATTAGAACTAAGAAGTGAATTTAGTAAAGTTGCTATACAAAATGACTTGTAAACAATATATACGTAAAGAATGAGAAAACAAAGTGAAAATTTTAAAAAATACCATTTATAGCTATGTTTATGGATAAGATAACTCAATACTGTACAGACGTCAAGGTCCCCTAGGTCCATCTATGGATCCATCGTAATCTCAATCAAAACTGCTTTCATAATCAAGCCTGCCTGGTATTTGCGCAAGGACAAAGTGACCAGTGGAGTGGAACAGAGACCTTGGAAACAGCCCCACACATATGGTCCCCTGATTCAATGTAAATAACACTGGGTAAGTTGGATATCCATGTGTGAAAAAAATGTATCTTGACCCCAACCTCGCACCGTATGCAGTAAATTCCAGGTGGACAGCAGGTCTGGATGTGAAAGGTAAAAAGATAAAGCTTTCAGAAGAAAAAGAGGAGAACATCATCTCAGGCATGTTTGTCCAGAGTAAGCAAAGATTTCTTGAACAGGATACAAAAGCCCTAACCATAAAAGGAAAAATGGGTAAATTGGATTATGTTAAAACAAGAAACTTCTGTTCAACAAGAAAAAACATTTAAAAAGTGAAAATGAGGTCCATACAGTGAAAAAAGATATTCACAATGCATGACAAAGGATTTGTATTCAGAATACAGTATATATAGAACCACTACAAATTAGTAAGAAACAGACAACATAAAAGAAAAATGGTCAAAAAACTTGAATTTTTTCAACGGCAATTTATAAAAGAGGATATTCAAATGGCCAATAAAAAAACCAAAACAGTGATTAACACTATTAACCACTGGGGAAATAGAAGATAAAATCTCAAAGAAATGCCTTTTCATACTGAACCAGAATAGCCAAAAGGAAAAAAAGGTGGACAATATCAAGTATTCATGACGATGCAGAGCAACTAAAACTCTCACATGTTGCGGGCAGGAGTGTAAACCGATTGAACCACTTTGGACAACCAGCTGTATAGTATCTACCAAAAGTGAACATATGTGCACCCGGTGACCAGCAGTTTCCCTGCTAGTGTAGACACCTGACCCCAGTGCACCAAAGCCGTGTAAGGAATAGCAGCACCCAGCCCGTGGCCAGTGAGGCATTTGCTTCAGGCACAAAATTTAAGGGGGCACCAAAACCTCAGTAATCGAGATAAAAAATACTTTAATGCAGTATTTAAAAACTAATAATTAATGAAAAAATCCATAATGAACAAAATATCGAAATTTCAAACAAAGACAGGCTCAGTATCACTGATCTCTCCTTTCGCCTCAGGCTCCGGTGACTCGGCCTGGCACTGGCCAGCACTGCTGGTGAGGGCCACACCTGGAAACTCAAAACGCCCACAGGATGGACAAACGACCTTTGAAGTATTTACTGTGATAAGAGTGAGCTACAACTACACGGAGCAAACAGCGGTGAGGGAAAGTGGCCACACACAAAGGCTCCATTCTGTAGGCTCCATTTATCCAAGGACAAAAACACGCAACAGGGAAAGCAGTGGCCAGAAGGTGGCAGGAAGGGGGCTTCTGACGTGCTGCCGCTTGGTTTGTCTGTTGGTTACAACTTGTAAAAATTCATCACGCTGCACTTACGACATAAGCAATTTTCTGCACGTATGTTATGCTTCTGAAAAAGTGAAAACAAAATAAAAAAGATAGCACGTGGTCTACATCAGTTACCCCTTCCCCGTGTTGATTGGGTGAAATTACCCCCAAAAGCAGAATATTGATTCTAGTAGATTAGAAATGAAGTATTAAGATCCTTGGAAAGACAGCTGGCACTGGAGCAGAAGGAGGGTACTACAGAAACTGTATTATTTCTGCGAGAGTATATAATCCTGGTCCCTTAATAGCATACAGTAAAACCATGCACACAGTACAGAAAGCCAAAGTCCCACGAGGCTTTCCAAACACAGGCTTGCAGCGGCAGGGCCTGTCCTCCCTCTGAGAGCTTGGGCACACGGGAGGCCCGCCTGGTGGAGTGGAGGCGCAGTGCAGCAGGGAGTGGGGCCGAGACTGTCGCCACAGAGGTCTGTGACTGTGCACCAGACCTGCGCTGCCTTAGAGTTTAGGGTTTATGGGGAAGGGGCCCAATGGGCAGTGCCAAACACACTGGTGAGAGCCAGTGAAAGCTATCAGCTCCCACTTCAGGGTTTAAAATGCAAGGGAGTCTGCGACTGACTGGTAAGTGCATTAAAAAAAAGAGGATGGATGGAGAGGGAGAGAGAGAGAGAGAGAGAGAGAGAGAGAGAGAGAGATGGGGATGAGGATGCGGATGGAGATGGGAAGGAGATGGGGAGGGAGAAGGAGATGCTAGAGCAAGCATGGTAAATGTTAATGGTAGAACTAAGTGGTGGGAAAATATGTGCTCATTATAAAATTCTTGCAACTTTGCTATAAGCTTAAAAATTTTCATAGTCAAATGTGAAAAAATTCAAGCAATAAAGAGGGAGAGCCTCTTAGCTCAGCCCCAAGGGGTATCAAAATCATCCGAGCGGTTAATACACACACACACGCACACACGTACAAGCACATATAGGTGCACACAGCCCCCCAGATACAGACACATACATGCACAATACACCCCAAATGCACACACACATACATGTGCATGCACACTCCCCAGATACACAACACACCCCCATATACACGCACAAACATGTACAACCCCCAGTGTGTGCACACACACGCACACCTCCCAGGCCCCTGGCTGAGTAGGTTAAAAGCTTCCCTGGCGGCCGTGACGCACGCTAACAGTTAATCACTTCTGCAGTGAGCTTAACCTTTCCCGGAAGTGGGTGCCTTTGACCTTGGCTCAAGCACATGACGTGCTGGCACTGGTGACCCCCGTGTGAGTACACTAAGGGTCAGGAACTCTGGTCCAGCACGTACCTTGTGCCAGGCTCTGTCCTGGGTACTCGACCTATCTTAACTCCTTGTGTCCCCGCTTGCCCCATGAATTAGATGCCACTATCATTTCCCCTGTAAACCAAGGAAACTGAGGCACAGCAGGGCTAACTTGCCCACTGGAGCCTCTCAAGTGGGGCCAGAGATGAGGGTGCGTGTAGAAAAGGCCAGGTGCCTATGACCCTCAAGCCCCACCCCGACTCACTTCGGCTGCACTGGGTGACCTGGAGCTGCCCTGCTTGCTCCTGGCTCCGCCGCTTCTCCCAGACCTGCGCACCTTCCCCAGCCCTCAGGCGGCCGTCGGGCCCCTCTGCTCCCCACACCCCCGCCTGTCTCTAACTGCGCTCTAACTCAATGGGTGTGACTCTCCTCTTTTCTCAGGGGTTTCTTGAAGGAGGACCAGATCTTATTCATGTGCTCTGAGACTTGGTGTCTAACACACAACAAACACTCAGTAAATGAATCTTCAATGAAGGGAGTTGCATGGCAGGAAAAGCAAAAGGGGTTCTTGGTGAGCTGCTGCGAAGACCCGGCTGGAGTGGATTCCCCGTAGGTGCCGTGAGTAAAATGAGATTCACTCACCCAGCACCAGACCAGCATCCAGGAAACGTGGCCTGTGGAGCAGTCACTCCCTCAGGCTGAGCACTATACCCTCGAGGTTTCCAGGCACTGGCCACGGGGCAGCAGGGCCAAGAGTCACACACCCTGGGGTAACCCTAATCTGTTCACAGTTAAAAGGGTGGAACACGGGACTGGGGTGCACATGAAGGAAAGAGCCAACACAGCAACATTTTAAGAGAAGATATTTTTAAAGAAGTGACCATTTCAAAACCTCATTTTAACCCCTGGTTGATGCAATCTTTTCAACTTCTGGCTAAGTGCATCTTTTCCCAGGCAAGTGAATGAAATCTCTGACACCCCAGAGTCCTGGGCGCCACACCCCAACTGGGGGCTTTGCAGACCAGGTGCTCAGAGAAGTAGCCACCACAGAGGACCATGCAGGATGCCCTCGGAGGGACTCACCCGAAATGCAGTGCCTTCCTCGATGATCGTCGGCAGCTGAGAGAGACAAATGTCGACAGCAAGGTCCCAGGCTTGCCTGGGGAGAGAAGAGAGAGGAACGCCCACAGAGCATTACTGACGGACTTCACCCAGGAGCGGCCCGGGACAGAGCAGAGCAGTGGATGGTGCCCGTGGGCAGCTGAGCCCGGGTGAAGCTGTGGCCCACCGCTGGTGGAGGGCAAGGGAGAAGCAGGACCACGCGTCTGGCAGCACACTAAACCACTGTTTGTGACATCTTTCCTCTTCAAATTAAAAGGAGAAAAAAGCTTGGAAAAAACAAAGAGACTGACTCCACTTTCTAAGGTGGTTTCTGCCCCTGACCTGAGCGCACCTGGCCGGCAACCTGCCCATGCCAATGGAGCAGTTGTGGCACGGTGGTGGCTGGACAATGGCAGCGTCACACACAAACGCGCCATGAAATGCTGGAGTCAGGCCAAGGCGCTCCATCAGAAATGGGCCAGCATGGCGCCAGGAGAAAGGGGGTTGCCTGTGGACCCTCTGGTGTTGCCAGCACTGTTAGGCCCCAGCACCCCTCCCTGCCTGGTCTGGACCTGTGCCCAGCACAAACCACTCAGGGACGGGACAGGCTGTGCTTGTTTAAGTGGAAAGGCAACAGTCTCTTTGATGAGTGAACCTGGCCATCTTCCCCACAGATTTCTTATGGCCTCGGGACCTGGCTCAGCACACTGACAAAGTGGGCAGTGCTGACTCAACAGTCTGGCTCTAGGGCCTTGTGCTTGTGGCTTCATCTACCTAGGGTCAGTTCCACCATCTGTGAAATGGGCTAACAATTGTGTGCCCCTCACGGGGTCCTTGTGAGACCCTGAGATAACAGGAAGAATTTGGAAGGGTTGCTGACACAGAGCAAGGGACACTCACAGAGAGCTGCTGTTTCCTGCCACAACACTTGACGTTAATCCTAAACTGGATGCAAATAATCACCTCCCTTTCTCTACGGCCACAGATTCCCCTGGATACAAGGATTCTTCCACTCTTACTCTCCCTTTCTTTCAAAAAGATGTTCCTCGTGGAAACAAAGTGATGATCAGTGCAAGGGATCTCGTTTCTGGTGTTGCACTCTCTTCTCCCGGGCGACTTCCTGAGAGACTCAAGGATTCCATGATGCTTATTTAGACTAAGGAGGGTATGGGTTTCTGTGTAAGAGGGCACCTTTTCACGAGGTCTTCATAAAGTAGCAAAACAAGAATCAAAAACTTAACAATCCAGAAAACATCTAAGATGAACAAAAAGACTAAAGAACTCTTCTCCATTATCCAAATAAATGAAATATATTTCATTTTTCACAGACTGGCTCCCTTTGCACAGATGCCCTTCCCCCACCAATCTAATTAAGAGGCAATCAGGAGATAATCAAAAGTGCCTCAAAGTGCGGGCCATAAATAGCTCCCACGTGCTCAGTAAGTGCCCCGACTGCAGGCGAGATGGTTACTCAGCAGCGCCAAGGGAGGTCTTTACTCGTTGTTAAGACAGAAGCAAAGTCAATTATTGCAATTAAGCTCTATAAAGATTCCTTGAATTTAATCAAAAAAAGTTTCAACTTCAAGAGTTAGAAGAAGGAAGTGTGCACAGTGGGAAAGGTGAGGGGTGAAGTAGAGGGTGGGGCAGCTGGCCACCAAGCCACCCTCTGAGCCCTGGGCAGTCTGGCTACAGCCACTACGCAGCAGGCACCTCCAGCCGCGCCTTCCATGAAGTGGGTCTACATGCCCTCTTTCAGCCCCATCTCATCAAAGTCATGAGGCAAAAAGAATTATAACCCGTTAGAACTGTCCCCGCCCTTTCCCGAGGTCCTGGCTGGGGTGTTCTAGACAAAGCATCAGAAGCAGGCGGCCCTGGGGAGAGACTCCTCCAGCAGGTCCACGGCGCCTCCTCAGCCCTTCCCAGAGAGAGACAAAAACTGGGGCAGCTGCAGCAGGACCAGGGGTGATAATCCTGAGAAGTGTGACCCATGCTGTCACCATTTGGCCTGAGGGCTCCTAAGGGCTGCTCCCACCCAGGTCACCACTGGGAGACCGTGTCCTCAACCACTGCACGTTTCCATGCCGGAAAAGCAGCCCAGAAGGCATGCTGTTGTTTGTACACAGAGGCTCTGTGGAGGATGCAACGTGAAAGGCAGCGCGGTGGAGAGGGCTGCTCAGGTCCCTGGGAGGAAGCAGCGAGAAGCCATCAGGGCCAGGACTGGAGGGCAGGCCGTCCAGTGAGACAGGAAGAGAGATTTGCTCAAGGCTCACAGGTGGACGGAAGAAGAGAAGGAACGTGTGGGAACTCTTAAGACCTACTGAACACCAAATGGTCAAACACATCACCAGCACACCGTGAAGGCCAGTGCACCCTAAGTAAAGGCCAGGGGAGAGAGCAGTGGGTGGCGCTGGGCAAGCTTAGAGCCGGCATCGCGGCCAGCGGCTCATTCCCTCTCTGGGCCTTTGGTTGTTTATTTTCTACAAAAGGAAAAGGTCAGATTAGAGGTCCCTGGAGTTCTTGGTAAACTCTAAAATTATATGGCAACCTTCTTAACAGCACACAACAGTATCTTGTGTTGAGCGTTTCATCAGTTGATTAAAACTAGCTGCGTTTTCTAGGGTAAAATCAAGATGAACTTGGAGTTTTAATTTGGGATTCTCACTAAGGGAAAGTGGGAAAGTGAGTCCTGGAGAATCCTGAGGCCGTGGTGGCGAGCTGGAGGCGCCGCTCTGCGCGTTCTGGCACCCAGGCAAGCACCCAACTTGGGAGGTGTCTGCATTCACACTTCCCACAGCCCGCTGTGCTCCCCGAGAGGGAGAAGCAGGTTCGGAGTGTTCAGAGCAGATCTGGGAGGGAGGGGAGCTGCGATTAACGTGACCAGCTAATCTGAATTGCAGGGCTCCCCGCCCCCCGGCAGCTGGGAGCAGTGGGGCTCTGAGCTGTGGGCTGCCAGATGAATCACTGCCTGGAAAACGTGCCACCCGGGCAAGAGCCTGGGTTTTCAGGAAACAGGCCTCAGATGGCAGACGCCCAGGGAGTGGGCTGGGAGGAAGCCTTCCAGGAGCACACGGCCTCCATCTGCACTGATCCATCAGCGGGCGAGGCACCCTCGATGGGAACAGAAAGCACAGGTTATTACCGCGGAGAAATGCAAGGGTTTCAGGACCTGCTGAAATTGAAAGTGAAGGAGAACGACTCCCCGATGGCTTCGCATCAAAAATTAAACAGGAGTTGGGCTCCGACGTTTCATCATTTGCGCCCCCGGCCTGAAGCAAAGTGTAAATGTTTATTACTTTGTTTTAACCTCAATTTTTGTTAGGCTTTGTTCCCTTCTTCCCCCTGCTAAAAATTCAACCTCTCCATCACCACTCAAGGAACATAATCACTAGATGGTAAATTATTTATTCCAAATGCTCTGAATACCTTGGCTGTGCGCTCCCGGGGGACATACAAACTTTGGTCTATTTATGAGGAGGGGAGAAAGCCATGGCATTGTTCGGAAGTGTTTCATCACAGGAATGAGCTCTCCTGAAAGCCCATGGTAACTCTTGAGTAGCAGGGAGCCCACACCGGCGCTGAGCACCCGGGCCACCTCAGACCTCAGTGGCAGTTGGCAAAACCTAAGCACAGGTGAGCACAACCCTCCTGGTGTCTGTGCCTCACGGTCTTTGCTACAAGCCCACTGCCTGTTGCTTGCAGCTGCTCTCCCACCTCCTTTCAGGACAGGAGTTTGAGTTGGGCCCCTGCTACCCAGGATGGACACCATGTACCCAGCTTCCCTGGATGAGGAGCAGTAGACACTGCCACAGGGCGAGAGGGGAAATGTGCCGTGCCTCCTGAGGGGGAGCCACTGCAGGCGTGGCGGGTGTCCAGCACGGGGGAAGCCTGGGTCCCCAACTCCTCCCACTCAGGCTCTGTGGGACAGCCACTGGATTCTGAGTTACCAACTAACCTGTATTTCAACCACGACCTCTACCTCCCTCCAGAGGAGGAGGGGACCCATCTGAGCGTCTCTCCACTGTAACCAACTTAGTGTCCCTCGATGGGCTGTGGCTGCACGCCCCACAGCTCCACTACCCAGTATTTACATCAAGTATTTCTGATCTCTGACTTTGCACAAAACCATTCTGAAGGATTTACAAAGAAACAAAAGCTGTTCACAGCAGACTGGTTTCCTCCTCCCTAGATCTACAACGTGGCAGCACAGGTGAATTAGAGGGCTTCTTGTGAAATTTTAGCCCGAGTGCCATGACACCCCGGGAAGTGCCCTGTCCCTCTGGTGCAAGCCACCTGTCAACAGAGCCTTAACCGTCAGTCAGCCTCCATGGTCGGCAGGCAATTGGAATTGTGAGGGACCCAAAGAGAGTACTCTTCACTCCCCTCTGCTGCGTCAAGTCCATCAGGATCCTTGACAACTGCTCACATTCAAGGAGGCGTGGGGCGTCCAGCCTTCTGGAGCTGAAGCTGTGCTGATACCCAATCTCTGGGAAATGCAAGTGCAAACGAACCCTTCTCTAAAACCCAGGAAAGAAAGAATCTTCACGCTCCCCTCTCTTCTCCCCTTTAAGCTTGGTACTTTTTAGCGGGAGTGAAAGCACGTATGGAACCAAGACTTTGTCACCACGGACACTCCCCTGGGAAGCAAAGACCTCCTTCAAATGACCTGAACTGTGATGGGACATTCCTCAAGAATGCTCCCAGCTACGATCTTACGTCAGCTAGGAACCTGCTGCGTGGGAGAGGCGCGTGTTGTAGCTGTTTTCGGATGTGAACATGAAGGAGGAAAGGCCTGTCTGAGGCGGCCCAGGAGGAAGCGGAAGGTGGACATGGAAGCCAGTCAGTGCGAGGAGACTAGGATTTAAGTCACTCTGAGAGAGCCTGGGAACCGCATTTAAAATAACACAATCACTTGTAATTTGGGTGGGGGCCCACTTACCACTAAACTAGCCCCCTGGAACTTTCTCTGTGCCTAACGAACTCACACTGGCCGGAACGCCCATGTCTCCACATGCTCTTAGTGGCAGCGAGAGGACAGGAAGTAGGAGAATGGGGGGCGTG